ATGGTGATGGTGTGGGCTGCCATAGCAGCCAATGTTCGCTCTCCTCTCGTATTAATCGACCCTGACATCAGGATAAATGCCGAATATTATCGCGAAAATATTCTGGAGGGTGTATTAAAGCCTTGTGCATACAAACATTTTGGCCGCAGACCTTGGACATTCCAACAGAACTCAGCACCATCGCAGCTCAGCACGCGCCACCCAAAAATGGTTACAAAATGAGGGTTCCTCGCTTCATTTCCAGTGCACCATGGCCACCAAAATCTCCGGATACCAATCCGTTGGACTATTGTGTCTGTGGAGTATTTTGGAAAGCACGGTTGGCACTAAAAAATACCAAAGTGTCGATCACCTCAAGCAAGCGCTTAGCCGGGAATGGGCCAAAATACAGCAGAGCAACATTTGGGCAGCGAGTGACGGTTTCATTGGTCGTTTGAAGGCCATAATTCGTGCCAAAGGTGAACAATTCGAACAAATCTAAACCCTTTCTAAAATTTGATGCTATTTCCGATATTTTTGCTTTCATTCAATAACATTTAAAACAAGTTTAAAAAGAAGACCTGGACAATTTTCAGACACGGACTGTAGTTCCCATTACGAACTCTAGGTTGTAGTATCCATTTGGAACTTCAAATACCAAATTTGAAACAATTCCGTTGAATAATGTCGCTAAAATCATCAAAATGCCGAATATGGGGAGGTACCGTTAATATACCCTCCATAGAATGGTGGAGGGTATAAAAATGTAAAATTATAGCTTTTGACTTTGTTGCTTTTGACTTTGTTGATCTCACCCTGTAAATTGTATTATCATAACTGTTTAAATTCTGGAGATATCGCCCTAGAGAGTGCAATGACTAAAATCTCTTTTAAATATCATGTCCTCAGGTGCCATATGTTGCACATCTCATACGATTAGCTTTTCCCAAGTCAAGCTTTTGCTAGGCTTGCAAGAAAGCTTGTCTAACTAATTTTAAAAGAGAATAAGACTCTCTTTCGATGTCACATGAAAAGCTTTCCCAACTCTCTTCAATTTAACACATTAGCCTCTCTCCCTCCCTTCCTCTCTTCCCCTTGAAATTTATTGTTTACATTTTTTTGGTAAACATTAAAGCGCGATTTGACTACCCTGTGTTTGATCTCGATGCGTGCGTGCCAAAAGAAAAAAATCGTTAGCTCAAAAATTGGGCCATACCAATTAGCAATTTTTATGGCTAGCCAATATGGCAAACTTAATCCAGTTTCCATTTCCACTACTGATAACTAGTCATATGTAAATAGGTATGTCTATTTATAAAATACCACCAATAAGTCCCGCCGAACTGATAAGGAAATTATTGAATCCATCCATTAGTTTCCGTTTCACTCTATTTGCGAACATTACAACTTTGCCCCTAGCTTGAAATTAGGTTTTTTTTATTTTTATTGCTGCGAAATAATCGCCTAATGTAATAGCAGTGCATCTAACGCTGATAACGCTTTGGGCTCAGAACCCGTTCCGTATTACTCTTTTTTTATTACGTTTTTATTTGAAACTCATTTGTAGCGGAGAGGAGGCTTGCAAAAAAAAAAAAAAAAAAAAACCTACAGCAACAACGGCGGGCTTTGTTTGTTGGTTCACATGCTATGTACCTGTGTAGGTGTGTGTGGGCAGCAGACATCAACTGAGATATGTAAACAGAGAGGCTTTTTTTCTCAACATAACATCATTTTTGTTGAGAAACATAATTTCCGTTGAGAAAGAGAAGAAGAGCGCGTGAGAGCAAATTGGCAATGGTGATAATGCGCAGAGAGTGGGTTTTGTGGTTCGTCGCATTGTGTCTGTTTCTGGAAACAGTGTTGCCACATTTGAATTTTAATAATTCCCCAAAACAAAATTGATAATCTCCAAAAAAATGAGTTGACAATTTAGAAAAATTATTATTTTTAGTAAAAAGCAATCATTCCCTAAGTATATATCCGACATTTTCATGGAACGGAGTGACTTATCCGCTGGCTTTTTTCCGTAAAAAAAAGGAGTTTAAGGTTCACTAAGTTCAATTTCTGGCCATAATTAATAGTTGTTCACGCTAAAACCGTTTTTATACCCTCCACCATAGTATGGAGGGTATATTAAGTTTGTCATTCTATGTCGATTTAGCGATGTCCGTCCGTCTGTGGAAATCACTCTAGCTTCCGAACGAATTGAAGTAGATTGATAAAATTTTACTCAAATGTATGTTATGTCTGCCGGACTTTTGGTATTGAAAATGGGCCATGTAGGTCCACGTTTTGGTATAGCCCACATATAACGGTACCTCCCAATATTCGGTATTTTGATGATTTTAGCGACATTATTCACCGGAATTGTTTCAAATTTGGTCTTTGAAAATCATATTTGATACTGCAGCCTATGACAGAAAATTGTCTTTGCAGGTCTACGTCTTCGTATAGCCCCCATATAACGGTACCTCCCGATAATCGATATTTTGATGATTTTAGCGACATTATTCACTGGAATTATTTCAAATTTGGGATTTGAAGTTCGTAATGAATACTACAGTCTAAGACAGAAAATTGTCCTTGCAGGTTTACGTCTTCGTAAAGCCCCCATATAATGGTGCCTCCCGATATTCTGTACTTTGATGATTTTAGCTACATTATTACCGATTTTTTTTAAGTTTCGCATTTGAATATTGTAATAGCTTATGAAAAAAACTTACCTATGCAGGTCCATATCGTCGTATAGACCTTAATATAATATCTACATTCGGTATTTTTAAGACTTTAACAAAATTTTTGAAGGATTTTATTGTTTTTGAGAATTGCCAAATTCGTTCCAAATGATGGAGGGTATTCAAAGTTCGGCCCGGCCGAACTTAATATTTTTTTACTTGTTTTTTTTTTTTTTTTTTATGGAGAAGCTAGGCGATAACTTAAACCGGTAAAAATGCTTTCTATGTATTCTCACCTTTAAATTTTCACAAGTGAAAAATCTTTCGTTGCTTTTTGATGGCGTAACTTTTACAGTAGACCTAAGGCCTTCTAAAATCGGGCAAAATATTCCAGTATTAGGTCAAAGGAAGTCAAATTTCAACTGAACTATTAGTAGACTTAGGGTATCGAAAAGTCGATGCCCTTCTAAATAACGCATCTACGACTGCATTGGCATGAAAGCCACTCAGGTCTGTCTAATAACCTTCTTGTTCTAGACGTTGACTCAATGTTGGGGATTGAGTCCATATAAACAAGGTGAGGTAAAAAGAACTGCAACAAAGTCAAATGCCATTATTTTTAATTTTTTTTTAAATTTTATTGAATGAAATCAAAAAATGACGGAAATAGCATCAAATCTTAGTATAAGTTTAGATTTGTTCGAATTGGTCACATTTGGCACGAATTATGGCCTTCAAACGGCCAATGAAACCGTCACACGCTACCCGAATATTGCTCTGCGGTATTTTGGCCCATTTCCGGCGAAGCGCTTGCTTGGGGTGATGGCCACTTTGGTATTTTTTAGTGCCAAACTTGCTTTCCAAAATACTTCAGACACAATAGTCCAACGGATTGGTATCCGGAGATTTTGGTAGCCATTGTGCGCTGGAAATGAAGCGAGGAACATCATTTTGTAACCATTCTTGGGTGGCGGGTGCTGAGTGCGATGGTGCTGAGTCCTGTTGTTGGAATATCCAAGATCTGCGACCAAAATGTTTTCATACCCAAGGCTTTCATACAGCCTCCGGAATATTTTCGCGATAATATTCGGCATTTATTCTGATGCCACGGTCGATTAATACGAGCGGAGAGCGACCATTGGCTGTTATGGCGGTCCACACCAACATCACCATGACCGGCGCTTGAGTTCTGGTGACCAACCGAAGGTGCACATTTTCAGCTGACCTCTTTGGCAACTAAACACGATCATTTTGTTTGTTTACAAACTGCTGGACAGCGAATGTTTTCTCATGGGAGAAAACCAAATTCGGCAGTTTAACACTTTGGGCCAAGCGAAGCAACTTTTTAGCTCTTTTGGGTCTATTTTCTTTATGTTGCGGCGTAAGTTCCTGCACTTTTTGGAATTTCAATGGCTTTACTCCAAACTTTTTTTTTCAATATTTGCCGAATGGTATATTGCGATATGTTCAGTCACGAGCGATATGTTCATCAAGTCGCTTCTTTATTTTTCGAACCATTTCTGCTGATATTGCTCTTTTCTTCCGTCCACTTCCTTGACGTCGGCCTACGCTACCAGTATCACGGTAACGAGCGATGGTACGAGACACAAAAAATTTACTCACATTTAAATGCTGGAGTGCTCTAACGATACCCACTTGTGATTTTCCAGCCAAATATAAAGAAATCACACTATCACGCTTGAATTCCACGAATCACGAATAACTTTTTTCTGGAAAATTCTCACCAAAATGCATTTGTAGGCTTGTAAACAATATATTATGAGCTATGTCACTGGAATAATTTTAACAGCTGTCGGACGAGTGGCTTTGAAATGACAGCAGTCTGAAGTTGGTTGCAGTTTTTTCTTCACACCCTGTATAATATATTCCCTCACTTGAACCCCAATTCTCTATGTTAAATTGACAAGTGTGAGGCATTTTTTTTATCCCTATATAATATTAAAATCTGTCAAATATTTAAAAAGTTACTCTATTTGCGTGCTTTTGGGAAAATTTTTCCTCTCGTTTACATTTCCCATAAAATTCCATTCTATAATTTATTATTATTTATTCTATATTTATTACTCTATTATTTATTTATTCTATAATTAAAAATCCAATTTCCAATTGTAATGAAATTATCCCCAAATTTGTCGAATAGTCCCATTTAATATGGCAACATTGCCATTAGCTACCCCTGTCAAAACAAATGCGCTCTCACAACATTTTGCAAAACACTCTCTCTCTCCCTATCTCAAATTCTCTGGGATTCTCTTGCAAACAAATGACAAACAAAACCTTACAATGCGCCTGCATTCTTTTGCTGCTGCTGTTGTTTGTTTTTGGAGCTGTTAATAAAAGTTATGGAATACAGACTTACTAAGCATGTCGGGCTGGCTGTCAACCTAAAACGAATCGACCAACCAACCAGCCAATGTTATGAACAAAAATCCCACCGTTAAATGGCTCTGATGTTGTATTCCCATTCATCAGTCAGTTATTTGTACTTAGGCCTGAGAGTAGTAGCAGCAAGTTAACGCGGATACGGATAGGCAGCTAGTTTGAAACAAAAAACTTAAATTTAGCAGCGGCTAAAATCAATAGCTCGGGCAGCAGCAGTAGCAGCTCACCACAAGCTCTAAATAAAACACAGGTCAATGTGTGAAGCGAACAGAAAAAACTTTGCTATTCTAGACGTGTAGAGCGTGATTAACAACCGAGCAAGTGAAATCGAACGAAGAAGAAGAACATTAAGGAAAAAGTAGAAAAAAAATAAAACTCCTTCGAAATAAAAGTTAATCTAAAATCCCACTCGTGTCTATTAAATTAACATAAAATTGTTAATTTGGTTGTTTGTTAACTCATGCCAAAGTGAAACATTTGTAGCATAATCAACAGCTAAGAATTCCACAATTCCAAACACATCCGTATATCTATCTACCTATCTATCCAACAAAAAGACTTCCGTAAGGTTAACAGACAAACAAAAAAAAAAAGAAAATAATAAAAGACTTGCGTTTTAAGTATACCAAAGATTTATTTATTTTAAATGTAAACGTTGTTCCGTTAAAAAAATAACTTCGTCTTTAAAAAAAATAAAAGAAATACAAAACTTGCAGAGAAAGTGTATCCATTAAATTCCTGGAAATTCTATAAGAAATTAATCAGAAATTTACAACAATAACAACAGCAAGTATCTATACAATTTGCCACCCACGCACACATTCGTTAAGGATTAAGGAAGCGAGAAGATAAACGTCAGCGACGACATAGAAAAATAAAGCAACAATTTTTGCTTAAAACCCGCCACTACCCCCATCACAAAATTAAATAGAGAGGGTGTTTATGCCACCCAAATAAAGCCCTCTATTGTGAATTGCCTTCTAACGGCGATAAGAAATATTAATAACTCACAACAAACACAGCAACAACAACAAGATTAGTAGACGACGTAAACCCCAGTTGAAACACGTCAAACCAACCCACACAAATATCACACAAGTGTAACAGCTGTTACTCTCCCCCATATACGCACTTTCTCTCAATCGTGCTCTCTCGCGCTCCCCCACACTAGAGGGTTTTTGCAATACTTGGCAAAAAGGAAAACGAAAAAAGTAGAAGAAGAAGCAGCACTCCACAAAGCCACACAATGTTGACATTCAATTCAACGAGACACCTACATTCGGCGTCATCCACGACGACGACGTCTCGTCGTCGTCATCATCATCATCTTCGTTATTCATTTGCATTATGCTGTTTTCTTGTTGTTGTGATTATTGGCATACCAAGTTTATGTCAAGGTTATATTATTAAAGAAGATGAAAGTTTTCTCCAGCAACCCTACTATGCCTCACAGGGTGATATTGAGGATCTATTTGCCCGTTTGGCCAAGCAATTTCCGGAAAATGCCCAGGTCGAAACAATTGGTCGCAGTTTGGAGGGAAGATCTTTGGTATTGCTACGCATTGGCCGGAATATGCGTCAACGTAATCTGCTGACACCCATGGTCAAATACATTGGCAATATGCATGGTGACGAAACAATTGGCCGCCAGATGTTGGTCTATTTGGCACAGTATCTGCTGTATAACTATCAAACGAATTTCGATGTTGCCGAATTGGTGAACACAACGGATATTTATTTGATGCCAACCATGAATCCGGATGGTTTTGAAAGGTCACAGGTAATTTTCACATAACACACGCATTTTCAAATATGAAAAAATTTTAATCGGTTTTACATTGAAATTAGACCTGAATTTTTCCATTCGTTGAAGTGGAAGTGAAGTAGCAGCTGTTCACTTCACTTTTGTTGTTCTTTTCCCCTTCACGCGTACTCAGAAGAGGTGAGAGATGGAGGTTTAATTTGATTCCCCCTTCTCTCTCATTAGATGAGTTAATGTTTTGGCGGGTTTATAGACAACTTAATTTTCTTTTATTAAATTTATGGGCTTAATATGTTTAACCACTATTTGAGGATCCTCAATTAGTTTCACAAAACTGCTTTTTTCACAAATTCCATTAAAATATTTCATTCCTTTCATTGTTGGAAGAAGAAGAATTTAGAAGAAATTAGTTTTTGGCGGTTCTTTTGACACATTGATTTTATTTTATTAATTATTGATCATATTTATGTAAATATTTTGTATTTAATTTTCTTAACTGCAGCTGCTACAGGTTCCCTGGGATTTTTACTTGCCCTCTTCCTCACAAATTCCCATTGAAAATTTGTCTGTTTTCGTTTGTTTTGCAAATGTTAACAGCTGCTTTCAAAGTTACTGCCTTCTAACTACTTTCGTGTCCCATTCTCTCTCTCTCTATCCCTTCCTCTCACACGTATATTAGGTGATGTGTTGGCGGTTTTTTTTTTTTTTTGTTATTTTTTGCTTTTACATTGATGGGCAAATTGGGTGGAAATCATGTATGTATTTATTTAATTTCCTCAACTGTTGCTTGTTGTTGATAGCTTTTCACAGAATTTTCCACAGAATTATTTCATTTTACACATTATCCCTTTGCTTGTAAATTCCACAATTGATAACAAAAGGTCAGTGCATTATGGGCATTCCCTGTCTCTCTCCTCTCTCTCACACACACAGAAAAATGAGGTGAGGTGTTAATGGATTTTATAAAATTATGTATGTACTTTCTTAACGGCTGCCTGATTGTTTTTTGTTAAATATTTTATTGGGTCACACATAAATACTTTTTCACAAGTTATGTCTTTTATAATTGTGTTCCGTGTTAATTTCTGCAACAAAAGACAATAGATGATCACTGGCGTCTTTACTGTCATTCTAACAGCTCAGCCGCTCTCTCTCACATTGAGTTACGTGAGGAATTGGTTTTTTATATTTTTGCAACAAATTTGTGTAATATTTTAATTGGGTTGTTATTTTCCAATTTGTTTGTTGTTGTTAATTGTGTCCCACCTGGAAATATGAGATAATTTTGGTTTAAATGAAGCTAAGCATCAACAAATAATAACCATTGAAAATGTTGGTTCTCAGTGAGTAAATGGAAAACGATAAGAAGGAGTAAAAAAATGAAGTGTGCTACAGACCATGTAACTTGTAGAGTTTGCTTTGACAGTGTTAAGCAACGAAGATAAATGTGTATTTTATTTATTTTAGCTGTTGCTTTTAGGCTTGGTAATTGCTGTTAAGGCTTCTTCGTAGGGAAACAAACATGGTAGGAGAATACAGGTAGATACATCAACGCTTGGGAACATTGATATGTCAAAAAAAAATGTAAATGTTTTTTTCAAATATAACTAGATTTTGATATGTTTTCTTATACGACGTCATTCGGAGGTTATTATAATTTGCGTTTTTTCAACAATTTTTACAAATTTAATCAATTTTTCATTCAACATTTTCCCATTCCAAAATTGGTTTGACATTTCATTGTCCCAGCAGCTGTGTCGATGCGTCTACCTATATTATTCTACCATAGAACAAAGTAGTTTTAGGTTGACTTAGATCGATTTTTGTCCCTACGCTCCTTTGTTATTTTCCGAAGCTGAAGCCAGCCGATGACTTAAGACAGTCAAAAAGCGTTTTATGGATTCTCACATTTATTTGTGTTTCCTTTGCGAATATAAAACCTAAACAAATGAATTAAAATATTGTTTCTTAGTATTTACTCACTGAAAAACCAATAAGAATTAAACAAAAATAGTGTGCTATAGATCATGAAACTTGTAGAGCGTGCTTTGGCAGTCTATACCAATGCTGATAAATAAGTTTAAAACAATTATATCTACATCGGTTCCGCATAGAGTGGCTCGGTTTATTTTGCTGAATAGTGTTGGTTTGTTCCCAGTTGATTTTTTTGCGGAAAGCTTTATACGGGGTATATATGAAGTCGCGAACCTGCAAAAGTATTTTTTGTCATAGGATACGAAATTTCAAAACGAATAAAGATGAGAAGCTAAAATTTTACACGATATGCCTTGTTTTGTCTGCAGGCACGTCAAGTTGAAAGATGAGCTATATCGGTCCATGATATCGTATAGCCCCCATATAATGGTACCCTCGATATTCGGTATTTTGATAATTTTAACCATATTTTTCAATGGAATTCTCTGAAATTCTACACAAGGAATTCTCTGTGAGTAATTTACCCTCTGAAAAAGAATTTTCTATATAGGTCCGCGATATCGTACATCCCCACATATAACAATACCTCCCGACATTCGGTATTTTGATAATTTTAGTCATAGTTTTCAATGGAATAGTCTGAAATTCTACACAAGGAGTCCCTCTCTGAGTACTTTACCCCCTGAACTCTACGTTTTAGTATAACACCCATATAACGCCACTCCGAGATATTCAGTATTTTCCAGAATTTCGCGACGTTATTCACCTGAATTGTGTCAAATCTTGTATTTGAAGTTCGTAATGGCGGCGACAACCTATGACGGAAAATTGTCTATTCAGGTTCACATCTTAGTATAGTTCCCCATACAACGGTACCTCCCTTTATTCGCTATTTTGATGGTATTAGCGTCATTATTCATCGGATTCGTGTCGAATTTCGTATTTGAATCGTTACTACAGCCTATGACAAGAAAAATTACTTATCCAGCACCACGTCTTCGTATAGCTCCCATATGAAGGTTTTCATTTGAGCGGTATTTTTAGACGGATTTTTTTTTGACATTTTTCAAGTTCCTTTCGAATGGTGGAGGGTATAAACAGTTCGACTTAGCTGCTATTTTACCTTTCTTTTTCTGATTTATACTAGGCGAATTTACACGCGGCATTTTTTATTATTCTCTTTTGAACTTGCCTCTTGCATTTGTACAAGGCAATTAATTTTTGAAATGTTTTTTTTTTTTCATTATTTCATTTTCTGGCATTTTTATCTATATTTTTATATAAAAAAGAATAAAAACCCGAAAGCAATTGCAGTACCAGAATTTTCTCCATCATCCATCATCCTACAAACAAAGAATTGGGGCCAGAAAACTTGTCTAATATAAATTCTGACTTTCACCAGGCGATTTGTTTTTAGGCAATTTTTGTTTTTCATTGCATTTGGTATTTTCTGTTTCTTCAATTTCCATGCGCATTGTTAGAACTAGTTCCAAATGGTTGCATTCACGTATTTGTTTCTTTGAACTAGTTCATTTCGGGACAACACATCTCAGCTGATTGGCATTCGTTCATTTTATTTTTGCCTTCTCTTAACATCATTATAGTGAAAATGTGAGTTGCTATTTTTCACCATTTCCAGAAAAGTTGCATCCTCGTGTTTGTTGGTCCATTTTTGTTTTTCATTGCATTTGACATTTTCTGTTTCTTCAATTTCCATGCCCATTGTTATAACTAGTTCCAAATGTTCCATTCACGTATTTGTTTCATTGAACTAGTTCATTTGGGGACAACACAACTCAGCTGCTTGACACTTGTTTATTTTTATTGTTCCTTTCTGAGCTTGCCCATGGTAGAAAAATACAGGTAGATGCATCAACGCTTGGGAACATTGATATGCCAAAATTGTAAAATTGTTTTGTCAAAAATAAGAAGATTTTTATATATTTTCATATACGATGCAAATCGGAGGTTGTTATAATATGCATTTCTCAACCATTTTTACAAATGTCAATAATTTTTCATTCAATATTCCATTCATTCAATTCCAAAATCGATTTGACAGTTCATTGTTCTTCTACCATGAACTTGCCTCTTGCATTTATACAAAGCAATTATTTTTAGATATTTTCTTTTTCATTATTACCTTTTCTGTCATTTTTATCTATATTTTTGTATAAAAATCGGAAGCAATTGCAGTACCAGAATTTTTTCCATATTTTCCATATACCCTATCTTCTACAAACAAAGAATTGGGGCCAGAAAACTTGTCTAATATAAATTCTGATTTATACCAGACGATTTGTTTTTAGGCAATTTTTGTTTTTCATTGCATTTGGCATTTTATGTTCCTTCAATTTCCATGCCCATTGTTAGAACTAGTTCCAAATGGTTCCATTCACGTATTTGTTTCGTTGAACTAGTTTATTTGGAAACAACACAACTCAGCTGCTTGACAATTGTTCATTTTTTTGTCTTCGTTTAACATCTCTACTGTATGAATGTGAGTCGCTTTTTCCATTTTTTTCAGAAATGTTGCATCCTCGTACTTTTTGGTCCATTTTTGTTTTTCACTGCATTGATATTTATTTTCTTCAATTTCCATGCCCATTGTTATAACTAGTTCCAAAGGTTCCATTCAGGTATTTGTTTCTTTGAACTAGTTCATTTGGGAACAACACAACTCAGCTGCTTGGCATTTGTTCATTTTTTTATCTTCATTTAACGCCATTCTTGTGTAAATGTGAGTTGCTGTTTTTCATCATTTCCAGAAATGTTCCATCCTCGGGATTTTTGGTCCACATTTAAAAAAAATATTTACAGCCTGTTCCACGATCTCGAAAGAAAATTTGTGCGAACGAAGGCTACTCACTCACTTTCGTATAAGAATGCGTTCCACTAACTTTCGTTCTTTCTTTCGCATAGCCTTACGTGATTCAGTGTTGCTAAATATTTTTTTGGAAAAATTAATCGCGAAATAAGGCAAAAAAAGCGCCAAATGTCTAATTTAAACGCGAAAAAGCAGCAGTGGCTCTGTCTCAACTGACATTTCAGTTGTAAACAAACAAATTGTAAATAAACAAACAAAATAAAATTTCTAGTGATTGTGTTCAAACTATTTGTGCTCTTAGAAAATAAAAAAAAAGAATATTTCCGTAGCCCTATTTTTTATGGATGATGTGGAGGAGGTTCAAAATGTGCCACGGAGGCATTTAAGAGATGCTTCGAATTTATTTGAAGTACCTAACAACCAGTAAGTATGATTGTATTTTTACATTTTTGAAATAATAAAAAATGATTTTTTCTAGGTTTGTGGCCAATTTTCGTGTGTCGAAGCAAGTTTTCGGGCTCTTTTGGATATGATGGAAGAGAAGTGGGTGCCCGGTTGCAGAACTACCCAAATCCGCCCCGATTTAAAACTTCTTCTGCTGCTTCCAAAAATTGGCACTCCTCTGGCGAACACAGGATTCTCCTCCATATACCCGCAGCTGTGTAGTTGATGATTTTTTCGTGCTGGAATTGAGAAAATAAAAAAATATATATTTGTTGTTCACATATTAAATTGCATTTATTATTTTTACTTACCTTTTCGTTTCTATTTTGAATCAAGCAATGTTTATGTTAAAACAATTTTCCTTAATTGTTATTATACGATAGCAAACACACAAGTGACTGATTTTGACATTTGTGTTCGCATGCGTACGAAAGAAAAAAGATAGTGGAACGCAAAATTACACTGAAATGCTTACGTTTTCGTTCGCTTTGATTTTCGTGCAAATTTTCGTTCTGATGGATTTTAGTGGAACGGAAATCAGCTGTTTGTCGTGTAAAAGTTGTGCGAACGTGTTCTTTCGATATCGTGGAACTGGCTGTTATATAAATATTTTCAAAACTTGCTACTTTGATATTTAACACTTGCTAAGGACTACATAAATCTTTAACGATGCGCCATAAATCCAGCAAAACTTATCTCTTCTCTTCTTCTTATTCTTTTTTTATGGACATTTCATTTAAATTGGTTGTCTTGCATCAAAATTTGGTAGCCGGATAACGTGACTTTCATTTCGGTTTTCGGCTGAATTTTGGCATGCAAGTCAAAGACACAATTAAATGTTAAATAATTTCAGAGCACACACGAAAACATAAAACGCTCTACAATGCGGGATAACTGAAAAACAAAAAAACAACAACAATTACCAAAGCCGAAAAAAAAATCAATTATAAGGCCAAAAGCGTTTTATGGCGAAATTATTTAACTCATTGGACATTTTTTTTTTAATTTTTTGATAGCTTTTCGGTTTCGAATAGAGGAAAAGATTTAGCATGGAACGTGTTTTAACTGGAAATTGTTGGAAAAAAAAAAAACAAACAAATAAAACCAAATGGAATTCCTTCAAAATTATTGGATCCAAATGTTTAGTTAGGCCAACGCTTATTTGTTTTTTAAATATGGCATACACGTTTGTGACGTTGTTTAATGTTTGACATTGATTTTTGCCCAACAACAACAAAAACAATATTTACAAAATTTTCGATTTCAAGCGAAAAATAAGCGTTTAACTTTTGTGTACGCACAAAATATGGATCAATGAACTGTTAATATCACCTTTACAGGTAATTAGGTGACCGTATCAAATGACAAAAAAAAAAAAATTAAAGAAAAAATGAAAATAAAATCAAAATGTCACAAAAAATAAATAAAAATTAAATGTAAATATTAAATTATAGTGTGTGTGTGTAAAAAGTTCTTAAAAGATTTAGGCTGGAAATACATAAAGAGCATATTTGGCTTAAGTCATCGGCTGGATTCTTCGTAGATGAACAAAGGAGTTTTAGGTTGACTTAGTTCGATTTTAGCCCTGGGCTCCTTTGTTCATTTCCGAAGAAGCCAGTCAATGACTTAAGCCAGCCAGATAAGCGCTTTATGTATTTCCAGCTTTATTCAAGTCTGTGGTTCTAATGGAGATTTTGTTTTTTTTTTCAATAACATGAAATGGAATTACAAAGGTCATTGCTTTCAAAAATCCGCAAATTAAACATGGTTCACATTTACACTAGGCAAGCTTACTTGCGGCAAGTCTCTGTTTGTAGGAGAGAGAGAGAGAGTGATATAAATGACAATAAGTATATAAACATTTAAATCACAAAATAAGAAAGTGGTGAAAAACGAAAATGGCTGAAAACAAATCCCCTTAGCCCTGATTTAGACTAGGCAAGTTTACTTGCGGCAATTTTTATCGTTCTCTTTTGAACCAGGTGAGTTTACATCTTAATCATGAAATGTTTACGCAAACAATTGTGTTCGTAAATTAGTCCAGAGGAACCAAAGAATTACATAAAAATTTTCCAAAAGAATTTTAGTTTTATTTAATTCTTTGGTTCCTCTTCTAATGAGCTTACGATCTCGTCACTTGAGTAAAAAAAGTTTTTTGTCATAGGGGTTATTTTTAAAATAACTTCTGGAGATAATATCCCAGACAAAAAAAAAAAAAAAAAAAAAAAAAACAAGGGAACTGATGAGGATCGGTGTCTCTTTCCGAAACCTAGGTAAACATTACCATCGTTCTCCACAAATAAACCAACTTTGTTTTTATAAAAACAACAATAATGGGATAAAGCCTGATCATTTTGCAACAAGTAAATAAAATAAAATGGATCAAGCAAATTGCCAATTTAATATAAAAAACTTATAATTTGTAATATAGAAATGTCAAGAATCTTTTCTTATAAATTCAAAAAAAAAAAAAAAAAAAAACTGAGGAAAATCCACGTGTTTCACGAAAAAGTTCTCAAAAATTCACTATTTTTATTTCAAAAATAATTTAAAATCTTCGAATTCCCGGGAAAATCTTTGAAAATTCAATCTCTTCTATGAAAGTTTCTTGAAAGTCTTAACTTTAAGGTATTCTCGAAAAATTATTTCCAAGATTCTTGGAAAGTCCTTAAATATTGACTGTTTTCTCTAAAAGTTTCCCCGAAAAACTAATTTGAAATCCTCGATTTTCTTAAGAAAGTCTATGAAAATCCATAATTTTTCTCTAAAATTCAAGTGTGTATTTTTTCGAAATTTTGTTTAGAATTTAAGAGTTTCGCATGAAAATTATTAAAAATGTTCAAGTTTCTCGAAAGAACAGTTACCAATAATACACTAGTTAATCGGAAAGATACCTGAAAATGTGAAAGTGCCTCTAAAAATTTATTGAAAAAAATTACAAGTCCTCCGGGAAGTTCCCTAAAAAATATTTTCTTTGGAAAATTATTGAAAATCTTCGAATTCCTCGAGAAAATCCTTGAAAATGAAAAAAATCTTCCATGAAAGTTTATTTGAAAGTCTTAAAAGTTATTGAAAAATCTGTGAAATTCTCGTGAAAGCCCTTTCCCATAAAAGATATTGAAAATCTCCAAGTTTCTCCTTGAAAATGTACGATATTCTATTAAATTTTAGTGAAAATTCAATTCATTTCGAGGGAAAAATATTAAAAATCTTAAAGTTTTGTTTTAATACTTGAAAACTTGAAAGTTTATTTAAAAAGTTTTTCAAAAAGTTATCATTGCTTCCATATTTATATTTTATAATAATACTCAATACTAAAAAAATGGAAAATCTACAAGTTTTCCAAAAATATTCCATGGAAAAACTATTCACGAATTTCTCACAACAAATCCAGGAGTTTCTTGGAAAAAATCTATGAAAATCCATAACATTCTCATGTCACTACTTGAAAACCAACGACATTTTTCGGAAAGATGATTGAAAATCTACAGGTTTTCTCAAAAAATTCTTGAAAATCTTAATATTTTTGCGGAAAATCCTTGAGAATGTTCAAGTTTTTTGAACAAATTCAGGAGTTTTTTGGGAAAAATCTATGAAAATCCATAACTTTCTCAAAGCACTCCTTGAAAACCCAAGACTATTTAGGAAAAGTAATTGAAATACTACACGATTTCTCATAAAATCCTTGAAAATATATATTTTTTTTTTTTTTTTTGAAAAAATCCTATAATAATGTATGAGTTTATAGAAAATGTTTTCAAAAATTGTCAATTTTCTTGGTGGAAAATTATAAAAAAATTTATTTTAAATCCATGAAATTTTCTCCTCAAACCCTTCAGCGAAATATTCTCTTCTAACAACTCGTTTCATTGCCAAACAAATTCAACTCAGAGACGTACTTCATTTCAAATGTATTTGAACAACTGTTTATTTATTTTTTTATTCTCTATTTTCTAACTACCTGACAGGTGACAATACTTTCCCATTGAAAATAGAAATCCCATTGTTTTCCCTCATTGCATTCTATCTTCATGATCTAATCTCCGTTTTCTCTTTCTCACTCTTTGGAAATTTTACCGTTTATATTTCAACAAATTCATTACCAAACAATGTGAACTCTGAGAATTCGTTTCTCTGAGTCTGAGAGAGATGAGGACAGTTGGAGAGAGATCTTTTAAAAAACAAAACAATGTGTAAATCAGGGATGCCAACTTGGTGATTTTACCGCTACTTTCGGTGATTTTTGATGCATAAAAATAAATAATCGCTACAGTAGCGACTTTGGCTGTTTAAGATAAATTTAAATATCCATTCACAATTATGTACTTTGACCGACCTTTTATAGGCCTTGTAAAGAAACTTTATATGTAAGATGGGAATACATAAAGCGCTTATCTGGCTGGCTTCTTCGGAAATCAACCTAAAACTCCTTTGTTCATCTACGAATAAGCCAGCCAAATATGCGCTTTATGTATTTCCACTCGTAGATGAAAAAATTATCTGTAGTGATTTATACATCGGAGCAGTTGACATTCCTGGGGGTCGATTCTGGTTCTATGAAAATATGAAATGAAAAAATTATTTTGAATTTCGTTTTCATAACAACTTTTCATAATTCGTTTTCATAAAAACATATTTTCCGATTCTGATTCATTTTGTGAAAACAATGTTTCAATTCCGTGTCGCAATGAAACTTTTGTAACTATGTTATTGAAATAATTGTAAAGTTGACGTTCATATGTTAACAGGAAAAAAATAATATTGTCGTAAAATCAAACAATGTACGATAAAAAATGTCAAGTTCCATTATATTATATTATATATCGCAAAGACATAGAATAGAACAAAGGTTAGTACAATTATCTAAAAAAGTTAACATGGAATAAATATAAAATTGTTTAGGAACTCGCTTCGAATTCTTAGACGCAGTCTTCGGGATCACCACAATCCATTTGAAATAGCCACAGAGGAGAGCTTTTTTGAGTTGTATAGGATGCCGAAGCATTTGTGTTTGGAACTCATCGAAGAATTGAAGCCATTTTTGCCGAAATCAAGAAGAGTCCATGCAATTCCATGTCATCTAATAGTACTAAGTTCATTACGTTTTTTTGCTACTGGTAGCTTTCAACGAAGTGTAGGACAAGATAATTTATCCGCTTTATCTCAAACATCCGTAAGCAGATGTGTAACTATGGTTGCTAAAGCTTTGAACAATATTTCACACAATTATATAATATTTCCCAAACAAGAAGATTTCCCAGGACTTAAATAAAGTTTATGGAGAAATATCAATTTCCAGGGATTATAGGAGTAATTGACGGCACTCATATTAAAATATCTGCTCCAAGGCGTGAAATTGAGCATATATATTACTGTCGAAAAGGAGGACATTCAAAGAATGTGATGATTATATGCGATTCAAATTATATTATTTTGGCAGCTAACGCACGATTTGGTGGTACAGCACATGATTCTTATGTTTGGAGAAGTTCCCAAGCTTGCAGAAGACTGGAAGATTTATATACTGGAGGAGAACGTAATTATTGGCTTTTAGGAGATAGTGGTTACCCATTGCAGGTAAAATATACGAACGTATTATGTGTAGAGATAATAAAGTGTATTCGTTTAATTTACCAAATAGCCGTGGTTGATGACTCCTATACTTTCAACGTGCAATACATCCGAAGAGCGCTATAACATCGCGCACAAATCGACACGAGCTTTAGTAGAAAGATGTATTGGTATACTAAAATCAAGATTTCGATGCTTATCAAAAGAAAGGACACTTTACTATAGTCCACCAAAAGCAGGTCTGAAAATAAACGCCTGTTTGGTCCTGCATAATTTTTTAGTTCGGAAAAAGATACCGCATCCGGAAATAATATCAGAGGAAATGAATGACAATGGGGAACAAACAAATGCAACTGCGGATATTTCATGCCGAAATATACCAAGTATTGCAAAAAGGCAACGTTCCGAAATAGTTGAAAACGTATTTGCTCAATAGATAAGAATATATTGAAAAATCAATACAATCATTAAAAAAACAAGTGAAAAAGCAGTTGAATACCGTCCACCATTTGGAAAAAATTTAAAAATTCTCAAAAAAAAAAAAACAAAAAACTAAATAAAAAGGCAAAATCCGTTACAAAATTTTTAAAATCTTAAAAATACTATACGAAGACTTGGATCTAAAATTCTGTCTGTACCTATAATGAAGTGTGGGCTTTACCTATACGTGGGCCTAGATAACAAATATTCAATATCAAAAGTCCTGCAGACCAAACACACATTTGAATAAAATTGTATCAATCTACTTCAATTCGTTTGGACGCTAGGGTGATTTCCACGGACAGACAACTTTTATCCACACCTTGCTGATTTGTGTCAAGCTCGTTTCCAAAACAGTTTAAGAATAATCGACATCATTTTTAGTAATGGCTAGAATTTATTTATTATTATGTCAGTAGCCATTATTATTACAAGGTAGAACTTGAATGACTTCCTGTATTCTTTTTAAAAAATCCACTTTTGCTTGTGTATCAGCCTTAATCGCTTCTGTTTGCTCCTTTATAGCTTCAATCTCCCTTTCCTTTAGAGTATTAGACTTTCTCATAGCTTCCACTTTCTCTTCTTCTATTTTAAACAATATTTCAAATTGTGATTCATCAGGATATAAAGCAACCTTCCGTTTTTCTTTCCTTGGTCTTTTTCCTCCCAATTTAATTGTAAATGTGGAATTTTCTCCAGTTTCAAGATCTTCATCCAACTCTACAATTTGGTCATCAAGTATCTCCACCATATCTTCCTGATAGCAAATATCTGATGAGTTATTTTCCACATGTACTCCGGGACTACATAGGAACCCCATCTCCTGAGTTTTATCCCCATCAACCGCTTCTATTTTGGTAATATTTATAATCCTCTGTTCTACTTCAGATAGTTGCTTGATTTTTTTTGGTCCATTAATTCCACTTTTTTGTTCGTCTCTTTTCATCAAAAGGTATTTGGAGCGTGTATGTTGCCTATACGAATGGAAAAAATTGCATAGATAAATGCATGTACAATGACAAACATTGGTTGGTATTAAAATACGTAAAAGCATATCGAGCGATTCCATTTCCATTCTCCGGATCGTTAGATCCATTCTCCCAATTTTGCTCCTCTACAAATAATAATACTTATAACATTCTTCCAAAAAATCTTACTACTATTTTTAATATTCTACAATTAAAATAAGTCATACCTCAAATCACTCCAATATTTTCTCCACTTGGCACCATCCTTCATAGTCCCTCCAATAGCATTCAAGCATTCCGCCAATTCTTTCCATTTTTCTTCTCTATATTTTGCACCATCAACAGTACAAAATCTTCAATATACGTATATTTTTATTTTGTAAAGAAACATGATTTTTTTGTAAAATTTAAATTGTCTTACTTGTCATTCGCCAAATCGACGTTTTCCTCAAGGAAATTTATTAAAAATTCCTTTTGTTCTTCTGAGGCTCTTTTACCACGGACCGATTTTTCCATTTTCATAAAGAAAATTTGTATGAAAAAATATTTTTCAACTGAAAACTTTTTTGATTCAATTTTCATGATTGCATAGAATCGGAATAGCGTACTTTGTGAAAATGTGAAAACACTAGTTTCACTTTCTATCGTTCCTTTCATATGAAAACATTAAAACATATGTTTTTATGTTTTCATAGAACTCGAATCAGTATTTGTATGAAACGGTGAAAAAACTTTTCATTTTACGTTTTCATAGAACCAGAATTGACCCCCTGGTGTCAATATCTCTTCTCATCTGAACTAGAATTTGCATTTAAATTTGAAAAAACATTTTGTTTTGAAAACAAAAACCTATCCCTACTTACCTTGTTTATTTTATAGCCCGACTTCGATCATATGTTGGACTCGGGGAGAGCAGGGGCAGCGGAGATGGCATTTCTAACTTGTCAGTTAACCAGACCAAGCCATGCATTTGAAATTGGCATTAAAATAAATTAAAGTAAATTATTTTGTTGCTATTGTTGTGTTGTAATATAATAATTGAACATGTGTTATTGTTGTTGTTTTTGTTGTCATATAATTAGTTTGGCTCAAAACAATGGAAAATGCTGGGGTGCATCTCCCTCTCTCTCTCAGTCACTTCAAATGTTGACACATTGACATTTGGGGGTTTTTCAATCATTTTTTGTAGGGATGCAAATGCAGAAAGTTTGGAGGAAAAGCTAAGAGGGCAGATTTTCAAGGATTAGTAAAGAATAGTATGAAACATAAATTGGATGGATATAACTCACGTTATACAGGGTGAGATAAAAAACTGCAACAAAGTCAAACGCCATAATTTTTACATTTTTTTTTTAAATTTTATTGAATGAAAGCAAAAAATGTCGGAAATGGCATCAAATGTTTAGAATAAGTATAGATTTGTTCGAATTGGTCACCTTTGGCACGAATTATGGCCTTCAAATAGCCAATGAAACCGTCACACGCTGCCCGAATGTTGCTCAGCGGTATTTTGGCCCATTCCCGGCGAAGCGCTTGCTTGAGGTGATCGACACTTTGGTGTTTCTTAGAGCGCCAACCTTGCTTTCCAAAAAGGCTTCAACGGATTGGTATCCGGAGATTTTGGTGGCCATTGTGCGCTGGATGTGAAGCGAAGAACCTCATTTTGTAACCATTCTTGGGTGGCGCGTGCTGAGTGCGATGGTGCTGAGTCCTGTTGGAATGTCCAAGGTGAGCAGCCAAAATATTTGCGTGCTCAAGGCTTTAATACATCCTCCAGAATATTTTCGCGATAATATTCGGCATTTATTTTGATGCCACGTTCGATTAATACGAGCGTAAGTGGACCATCAGCTGTTATGGCGGCCCAAACCATCCCCATGGCCGGCGCTTGAGTTCTGGTAGCCAACCGAAGGTGCACACTTTCAGTTGACCTCTTTGGCAAGTAAACACGATCATTTTGTTTGCTTACAAACTGCTGGACAACGAATGTTTTTGCTCATCGGAGAAAACCAAATTCGGCAGTTCACCACTTTCGGCCAAGCCAAGCAACTCTTTAACTCTTTTGAGTCTATTTTTTTTTCTGTTGCGGTGTGAGTTCTTGCACTTTTTGGAATTTCAATGGCTTCACCCCGAGCTCGTTTTTCAATATTTGCCGAATGGAATATTGCGATATGTTCAGCTTACGTGCCATTTTTCGGCCACGCGACGCAGGCTTCGATCAAGTCGCTTCTTGACTTTTCGAATCATTTCTGCTGATGTTGCTGTTTTCTTCCGTCCACTTCCTCGACGTCGGGCTACGCTACCAGGATCACGGTAACGAGCGATGGTACGAGACACAAAAGATCTATTCACATTTAAATGCTGGAGTGCTCTAACCATGGCCACTTGTGCTTTTTCAGCCAAATATAAATAAATCACACTATCACGTTTGAATTCCATCGCGAATAACTTTTTTTCTGGAAAATTCTCACCAAAATGCTTTTGAACGCTTGTAAACAATATAATGAGCTGGCACTGGAATCATTTTAACGGCTGTCGGACGAGTGGCTTAGAAATGACAGCAGTCTGAAGTTGGTTATATACGATAAATCAATAATATTATTTTCTAATTTGAAACATTTTCTTCTTAAGCTTTTTAAGGCTATAACCTTAAACTTTAAAAAGTTCCCTAATTTTTTTCGAAAGCAGATGTCATAAGCTTTAATTTGATATAAGATATGTAGAAATAACTAAAAAATTAACAGAGATATCACCAAAAAGTCATCAAGCGCAAAAACGAGCAAACTTGTTACATATTTTTCGTTATCCTGTGTCAGAGGCCATAACCATTTAAAATGACCTTATATAATGACTGCATTGGCAGATTTTGAAAGCAGAATGTTTAAGCTACAAGGCAATATAAAATATGTGTATATAACTAGAGAAATACCAAAGTTATCACCAAAACAACACACATGCCGAAATTTTCAATTTTGGGTTACCTTTTCTGTAAGAGCATTCCAGAGGCTATAACTTTAAAATCTATAGAGTTTTCTCCATAAAATTAATTTACATTTTGAAAGAAGAGGATTCAAGCTTTATTTTAAAGTATGATATATTTATGTACCAGAAGAAATACCACAGCTAGCGACAAATATTGACAAATGACAAAATTTTGAAATTTACAATTTTTTTGCGTTATTGTTATATCGAGACCATAACTTTTTAAAAAGACTATATAGCGATGCCATGTTTACGGATTTTGAAAGAAGAGTCTCATACCTTTACTCTGATATAAGATATGTTAATATAATCTAACAAATACTTAAGTTATAGCCAAAACATGAAGTCTGTCGAAATTTGTAAATTTTGCAGATTTTTTCCGTAAGCGCATTCCAGAGGCCATAACTTTGAAACCTATAGAATTTTCGCCATAAAATTTGTTTCAATGAAAGCAGAGGACTTAAGCTTTAATTTAATGTATATTACATTGACGTACCAGAAGAAATATCACAGCTCTCGGCAAAAATGTTCAAATGACAAAATTTTAAAGTTTGAAATTTATTTTGTGTTATCGTTTTATTGAGACCATAACTTTTTAAGAAGACTATGTACCGTTGCCATGTTTACGGATTTTAAAAGAAGGATCGCATACCTTTACACAGATGTAAAATATGTTA